GGTTAATATTAACCTTTAACCAAGAGTTTCTCAGTTAAATGTAAATATTAACCTTCTAGAAATAGAGAACATCCATGCTGGTTCTTAAAGCATTTCACACTTGTTGGAAATTCATAGATACATTTTAATTGGCTTCTTAAATAATCATTAAATGTTTTATTGTTTTATGTTGATTTGAAACACTTGTGAAATATATAATAAAAATAATAAATAGATACCTCTCCCTGGGCTGCCACCTTATAATGGTGGAGGCGTCCCAATGATCCTAGGAGCTATGCTGTCTGGGGCTTTATATCCCTGGTAGGGTCACCCAAGGCAGACAGGTCCTAGGTGAGGAACCAGACAAAGCGCAGCCCGAAGACCCCTTATGATGGACATAAACTTTGGATCTGGCGTTCCCTCGCCCGGACGCGGGTCACCGGGGCCCCCCTCTGGAGCCAGGCCTGGACGTGTTCAATACTTATTTTACCCGCTGTATGTCTTTTAAAAAATTTTAAATATACGAGAAGTGACTTTGTGCCGGCTGGTTGTTAATAATAAATCTTAATGGAAATAGCAAATGTCATTCTAGAATGAGGAAACGTGCAGATGTGTAAAGTTTATTGTTCTGAGTAATGTAAAAAGCAGCTGCCTCAGGCAACTTCTCGACAATTTTTCATTAAATACAAACTAGATGCGTAGACTTTTTTTTATCAGCACGTGTTTGAGCACCATCACCAAGAAATATTTTCTGTGCTTTTAGATTCAGTTTGAATGCCTTAAAAGTATTTCTCTTCAGGCTGACAGGGAAGCTGGTGCCGATCTATCCTGCAGTCAATGTGTGGGAGGTGGGATACACCTTGGACTGGTCCCAAGTCTCCTATTATTGTAATTTGTTGTTGTGGATTGATCCATTCATTTATCTTTCAGATGTTGAAATTAAGGTGATTTTTATCTCACAGTGTGTGGGTCAGCATCTAAAAAATCAAGAGAAAAATATAACTAAATAACATTGAAAGTTGGTCAGTCAAACTGCCAGACTTGAGAAATATGAAACCATCATTTTATCAACAGGTCCATCTGACATCCAAAACCTTGCTTCATTTTAAGTCACGTGAATTCCATTTCTTCCTCATTCTACTGCCAATCAACCTCATTACATTTACATAACAAATTATTTTCTAAGATCAAAATAGAGGGAAGTTATTGTCTGGAAACTCAAAAAAACCCTTAAGAGTCCTCCTCCACACCCACTTTTGGGGGCGTGGGCAACAAAGAAGATGGCCATAAAAAGAGGGAGACATCAACAGAGAGACAGAGCAACGGTCTTGAGACAGAGACATCACCAGACGAATCTGTCCAACCAACTGAAGCAACATCATCAGGAAGCCTCCTGACTCTTCATCATCTTCATCCTCCAAACAGTAAGATAAATTTTAATCTCTGGTGCATGTAATGCTTCGTTTTTAACTCTCAAACTGCTTTTTAGCAAATGACAGACATAAGTCTGTTTAATTGTTTGAAGTTAGATATCAGATCGGAGCAATAAAGATGAGGTTAGACAATCCTGTGATACCAGTTAACTTTTAAAGATGTGATTTATGACTAATGTGCACTGATCTGTCCAATCAACTGTGTCCTCCAGGTCTCAAATCAGCTGCTGGACAAGACTGCAATATGCTCCGCCCCCTGATCTACATGTGCATTCTCCTGGCACTGACAGGTAACTCAAATATTCTCAAAGAAAATGAAACTGATGTCTTTGTATTTAACATTGTCAAAGTTTTTAATGGCATCCTTTCCTTTTTTACATGTTAAACACAAAGAGGCACAAAGTATCCCCTGTGGAAAGAAAAGTTGCAATCCAGGCTGTGAATGCCTCACTAAAAATAAAACTCTTCAGTGTGTTGACCCCTGTGACCAATACACTGTGATGAACGATGTCTGGCGTTCAGTAGATTACTCAGACAACACTGCACGCTGTGACCAGGATATTAATTTTCAAGGCTGGTATCGCTTGCGTCTTGGGAAAAGCGATGCTCGCCTTCCAGAGAAGTGTGTACCGGTAAAGAAGTGTGGAACCCATGGTCCCATGTGGCTGAATGGACCCCATCCCACCCAATTGAATCAAATTCATGATTGCTCAGTGTGTACTGCCTGGGATGATGACTGCTGTAAATATCCCCAACACAACATCCAGGTTAAACTGTGCCCTGACCAATTCTACATCTACAAACTTGTGAAACCGAGTTACAGAGACACTGCTTATTGTTCAGGTACTGTTCAAATCTCAATATATTCTCTTCTTTCTACTCTGATCCAATGACAGAGTAATTACTGTATATTTATTCTTACACAAGTAAGTTGTTTCTTGTGTATAATGTGTACATATTTGAGTAAAATGTTTTTCCCTCTTAAAAGATAATTGACTCAAAATACTTTTTTCTAAAATTTTAATACATTTCACTTTGTGAATGAAATACTGTATCTGTTTATCAGCTGGTAACAAGAACATAATGGTTGAATCTGGAAACAGTTAAACATTTTTCAAGACTATGCAGTCATGCATTGTATCTTTAAAATATATTTGGTCAGTCCAATGGTACCACACTGGCCTTCATGCCTAAAGCTGCTTTAGATGATCGTGATGAAAGACAAGGAATGAGGAGAATGAGGGTCACAGGATTTGATCAGATGAACTGTAACAGAAGTAGAAACATTAAAAGGAACAAAAAAGTTAATAAATGTGATTTAGGTCTAATAAAAATTCTAGTATTATATTATAATAAATTAAGAAAATTACTTATACTGTAAATGTTACTAGAGTTGTCCTACAAGATTAAATGATGATATTGTTGCGCCTTTGCAGCTGTAGTGTTTCTCAAATAACTCAAATGTTTTGTTTGTTTTTATTAGATCCCCATTGCCCTAAACCAGCAACCACAACAACAACAAGAAAACCAAAAACATCATCAACCACACAAAATACATCAACAACAAAAAATACAACTATAACAACAGCTTCAACAACAAAATCATCAACAACAATGACCACAATAAAATCATCAACAACAACAATGACCACAAAAAAATCAACATCACCAACAACCACCACAACAAAACCACCACCAAGAACAACAACCATGACACCAACAACAACAACCACAACACCACCACCAACAACCACAACAGAACGTCCAACAACTCCAACACCAACAACCACAACAGAACGTCCAACAACTCCAACGCCAACAACAACCACAACACCACCAACAACCACATCAACTGAGCCACCAACAACACCATTGCAAACAACAACCACAACAGAGTCACCGACAACCACAACACCACTGCCAACAACAACCACAACACCTCCAACAACAATCACAACAAAACCAACAACAACCACAACAACAACAACAACCACACCACTGCCAACAACTACCACAATACCACCAACAACCACAACAGAGTTACCAACAACTACAACACCACTGCCAACAACCACGACAACACCTCCTAAAACAACCACAACAGAACCACCAACAACCAAAACACCACCAAAAACAACCACATCACTGCCAACAACAACTACAACAGAGCCACCAACAACCACAACACGACTGCCAACAACAACTACAACAGAAAGACCAACAACCACAACAACTGAACCAGCAACAACCACCACAACAGAAACACCAACAACCACAACACCACCAACAACCTCATCACTGCCAACAACACCTACAACAGAGCCACCAACTACCACAACACCACTGCCAACAACAATTACAACAGAACCACCAACAACCACAACACCACCGACAACTACAACAGAAACACCAACAACCACTACACCAACCACAACAACTGAACCAGCAACAACCACAACACCACCAACAACAACCACCACAACAGAAACACCAACAACCAGAACACCACCAACAACCTCATCACTGCCAACAACACCTAAAACAGAGCCACCAACAACCACAACACCACTGCCATCAACAGTTACAACAGAACCACCAACAACCACAACACCACTGACAACTACAACTGAAACACCAACAACCACAACACCAACCACAACAACTAAACCAGCAGCAACCACAACACCACCAACAACAACCACCACAACAGAAAGACCAACAACCACAACACCACCACCAACAACGACCACATCACTGCCAACAGCAACTACAACAGAGCCATCAACAACCATAACAACAACTATAACAGAACCACCAACAATCACAACACCAACGACAACTGAACTACCAACAACCACATCATCACCAGCAACAACCACACCACCAACAACAACTACCACAACACCAACAACTACAGTAGAACCACCAACAACCACAACCACCACCTCAACAACTGAACCACCAACAACCACATCACCACCAGCAACAACCACAACACCACTCCCAACAACAGTTACAACAGAACCACCAACAACCACAACACCACCAACTACAACAGAAACACCAACAACCACAACACTGACCACAACAACTGAACCACCAACAACCACAACACCACCAACAACAACAACCACATCACTGCCAACAACAACTACAACAGAGACACCTACAAACACAACACCACCGACAACAACTATAACAGAACCACCAACATCCACAACTGAACTGCCAACAACCACATCATCACCAGCAACAACCACAACACCAGCAACAACTACAACAGAACCACCAACAACCACAACACCAATCACAACAACTGAACCACCAACAACCACAACACCAATCACAACAACTGAACCACCAACAACCACAACACCAATCACAACAACTGAACCACCAACAACCACAACAGAACCATTAACAACCACATCATCACCAACAACAGAACCACCAACAATTACAACAGAATCACCAACAACCACAACTGAAGCAACAACCACATTACCACCAACAACAACCACCACAACAGAAACACCAACAACCACAACAGAATCCCAATCAAGCACAACAGAACCACCTACAACAACAACCACAGCACCATTGTCAACAACAATCACAACAGAACTACCAACAACCACAACACCACCAACAACAACCACAATGGAACCACCAACAACCACAACACCCCCTCCCACAACAACTACAACAGAACCACCAACAACCACAACAACACCACAAACAACCACAACACCACAGCCAACAACAACAACAACAACAGAACCAACAACAACCACAACAACACATACAATCTGTACTGTGACTGGCCCCACAGTCATTGACTTTTATGGTCATTTTAACTCTGTGAAGGATCGTTGTGCGTACTTTCTGATGTCGGATCCATCCAGTGGCTTTGAAGTGTTTGTCAACTTTGGGGAACAGCGTCGTAGAGATGTCAGCTTTTTGATCAGTGTGATCTTGTGGCTGAAACAGTCAGATGTTCACGTTCACCTGGAAGTAGGAGGCAGAGTCCTGGTAAGAAAAGACATCACAGTAAAGTTTGTTTTAATAATACAATCTAAAGGTATATTTGTTTCCAGATTCCTCTTAACATGAGCAATACAATATTAAATCTGCCTCTGCCTGGATGTTTGTGAAACTAACTGCTTTGAGTGTTTCAGATGTTTGGTGTTTCATTCAGAATTTTTTTCTTTTTCCCCCTCTTCTTTCTCTCTGATGCAGATAAATAATAAAGTGGTGACCCTCAGCAGCTCAGTACAGGACTTTAATGGTGTTAAGATCTCCAAGAATGAAAACGGAGTCACAGCAAGTTTTATAACCTCGAAACTCAGCATATCTGTGTTCTTGGATTGCCACACAGCACAGATCTACATGGAGTGTAAGAGAAATATTGCCTTGATGTCATAATGAAAGGCTTTAGTTATAGAACCATCAGTACCTCAGAGTGATAGAGAATAAAACAAAGTCAGGAAGATGCAAAGTTTCAAAATTATTATCTTGAATCTGATTGTAACTTCTCCTAGGCTTCAGAATGATTAGATGGCAAGTTAGTTCAGCAACATAACACTCTTAGTTCAGAGTTTGATCTCCCTCATCAATAATGTCAGTATATTTGTTAATTACAGAAGTTTGACAAAGTTTAAGACATGGTTCAGGTATTTATAAAATTAGACTTTTATAGCAAATGTAGCTCTTTTAGCTTAAATGTCTATGTAAAATCATTTTTATAAATATTAGAGTACCTATTTTGTTGTTTGATTCCTGTTTGTTTCTGTTTATATTAAATCTTACATTTATTAACAAACATAACCAAAAGTGTAGTTTAAAAGACTGAGTAGATTAAAACAGGACTATAAAAGAACTCCAAATATTATCTCTTCTTGTCTCTGTGAATCACATAATCAGTAATATTACCTGTAAAATCAGAAACTGAATAACATACAACGCAAGTTAATTAATATATTGTTAAAGTTTTTGAATCAGTTTTTCAACAACAGCATAATAGACTTTCTCAAGTCTCATTTTGGATTTTGGTTTTGGGGTGCCACCCAATAATTTTGCCCCCACATGGGTACCCTATTAAAAGCCTGGCAGCACCACAGGATGCATGTGTTTCTCTTGCATCGTTGACTAGGAGCCTGTGTTTGCGTTGGTCCAGATTGATCATCAACTCTGTTGTAACTCACATTCTGTCCTTTCAGCACCTCTTGGATATTCTGCTGATGGTTTGTGTTTTGACTCCAGCAATACTTCACAATCAAGGCTCGCTCAGTCAGCCAGGTATCACATGCTCTGTGTTTGACTCTTTTTCTATGATTCTTCTGATTGGAGACTTATATATACTGTATACTGTATATTATAATGAGCTTAGCTTCTCAAACCATGCTTTCTACTGAGAGCAGGTCATATTTACAGAGTTTATTATTTGATTTTTATTTATTATCTGCTAAAACTTTCTATGTTCATCAGACTTTTATTCTGGTAGTCAAATGACAGCAGCAGGATATTACATTGTCATAATTATTAAATAAACATTCAAGAATATAGTTTTTTTGTGTGTGCTAACCCCAAGAAATATAGTCCTCAATAGGGTAAGGGATAATGCGGACCTGTTTAGATAAATAATAACTCAGCAAAGAACATAATAAATAAGATTTTCTGTGATCAAGCCTGGTGTACTCAATGAGCAAAGTCATGTAAATAAAATGACCCTGAACTTGGTATTTGTCACCCCCTAGCTGTGAGGTTCAGTACTCTGACGATCCTGACAGTTGTGTCAACTGCACTCTGGCAACTAAACGGTGAGCAGGTTTCTCCACAACAGATAATATCTTACAGTGTTATACTTTGATAAAAAAAACATGGTACTTAACATATCACATGCTGTGAGCACAGGGTGGAAGAATAATAATTTGTCCTTCATGTGTTTTGTGGTTTAGGTGTAACATGTTGACAAAAGCACCCTTCGCCTCCTATAATGCCAACATTGACCCAACACCATACATCAATGCCTGCAAGGAAACTATGTGCAAATATCCATCAGAGGACGGCCTCATGACTCAGTTCCTGTGGGCCTACGCCAGAGCCTGCAGTTTGTATGGCAACAATGACCTGGGAGACTGGTGGACCAAGGCTGAATGCTGTAAGTCTTAGTGAACTGAGGCACAATGTTTATAAAGCTCAGATGTTTTCTGGATAATAAATCATTGTGTTCCTTTGTAGCCCCACCTAAGGCATTTTGCATGGACAAACTCTGTAGTGACCATGAGTTCTGTGGATGGAACATCAATGGACAACCTGCCTGTCTTTGCAGAGCTCTGTTTGCCTACAAGTATAAGAAGTCCAACACTCTGGGTACGACATCTGTAATATAAATATGACAGATTTAATGCAGGAATACATCTAAGTGGTGTTTCTTTTTATAAACACTTGGAAATTTGTAGGTGAACCAACTGTCTGTAAGCATAATACTGCTTCAGTCACTCTTGCTAAATGTCTCCTGGAGGAAAAATGCATCGACTACAAAGTCTTACATCTYAATGACCCRACCTGYAAGGGTGCCCTSGACAACCAGACCAACATGGTGACTTTCAGCTTCAACACCCAAAACCTCTGTGGAGCAGAGATCTCGGTGGGTTCTCACTTCCAACTGAACAAGTAAAAATAAATCTTGTGCGGAACTCTGCAGAGCTTCTGTTGATCTGCTGTAGAATGGATTGTTTTCTTGRTTTGGTTTAAGTTCACTACAGACAGTTACTGTTTAAGTGTTCAACATGTGAATGTGTGATTTTACAGTATGAAGAAAACACAATAGACTATGTAAACACCATCAAAAGCCAGAATAACACCGGCCTCATCACCCGCAATGACCAAGTGTTCATTGAGTTCTCCTGCTATCGTCCTCAACCTGAACTGAAGAGCGTGTGCTTCAGGATCAAAGACAACAGGTACTGACTGGCAGTGGTGTGCGGCACTAATCTAAAAATCTGTTCCGCTAGCCCTAAAGCACTAACTCAAATATTTAGGTCCCCTAATTCTAAAGCACTAACCCACTGAAAGTTTTATCAAAAGCTAATTCTAAAGCACTAACTCAAATATTTAGGTCCCCTAATTCTAAAGCACTAACCCACTGAAAAATTTAGCAAATGCTAATTCTAAAGCACTAAAATAACCTAGTTGACCCATGGAACATACTTCAACAGACAACATGAGTCACATGTTGCCATATTCCACACCTGTGTTTTAGTTCATTTATTGTCAATACTGTATGTCACCTAGTGGATAAGTGTCAGACATTTAAACAAAATGTGTGACAGCTTTCACCCTCAGTTGTTAGCAACGATGTTGATCAATAACATTCATAGTGCAGTTAGTGCTTCTAAATTTAGCCTTTAAATTTAGCGAGTGCTAATCCACTAATAAATTCTAAAATTAGCAAAAGCCCTAAAACGCTAATCTGAAAATTAGTTCTCCTATTAGTGCTTTAGTGCTTTTAGGGGAATTTTGCCCACAACTGCTGAATGGTAGTTTTTATCATCATACACAGCCTGTCAGTTGATTGGTGATTTGAAGGAGCTAAGGTGTGATTGTTTTTTGTTCTGCAGCTACGTGGGCAACAGATCATGTGGAGAATGGAATTACACTGTGTACATGATGCCCTATATAGATGCAAAATGCTCTAAAGCTGTAGCAACAGAAACTGATGTGAAGCTCAACCAGAAGGTCTGGGTGGAGCTGAAGACCTATGGGCTGGATGATGACAGCATCGCTGTGGTGACCGACTCATGCTGGGCAACCAGTGACCCAAACCCTGACAGCACACCCAGATATGACCTGATCATAGACGGGTGAGAGATGCTCATAAATGTGCTGAATGACACCAGGATTCTTTCAAACTGTTCTGATTTAACTTAAAAACTGCTATTCTTCTTTCAGCTGTGCCAACCCTGAAGATGAGACAGTTCAGGTGACAGGAAATGGAATAGGAACTTCCAACCGCTTCTCCTTCAACATGTTTGAGTTTTCCAGACATCCTGATAAAATCTATATGCACTGCCAGCTCGAGCTGTGTCTCACAAAGAAACACAACTGTGTACCGGTACGTCTGAAACACTGTTCTTTAGACTGGACTATAAGTTTTTACAGAATCACCACAGACTACTTTGGACTTAATTTTTCTGTGTTTGTCTTTCAGGTGTGCTCCTCAGGTAAAAGAAGACGTAGGTTTGCCAGATCCACTTACAGCAAGGGAGAATCAGCTTACATCAGCATGGGCTGGAGTAAATAGGTAAGACATTTAGAGTGAAGTGATGTGTTGATTTTTATTTTTCAGTGTGTATACTAAGTTGAATTATCTTTTCAGATGTTTTCATGGTGATCCTGACTGACCTACTGGCTGCAGACCTTCATGGACCTGAGTCCTGGTCCAGAGTTTAACAGTGCGAAATGATAAATTCAGTTCCAGCTGCAGAGATGAAGCTTGGTTAACTCACAGCTGCATTTAGCTGCTGTTTTAGTAGAAGAATTGTGACTGACTCTTCAGTTAATCTTTTCTCTGCCTTTTGATTTAAGGAACTGTGTGTGCTAATTGTGAATAGTGTTAATAGTGTACAGAAAACACTATTAAAAATAATGAGATGCCTTTTTTAAATCAAATGTAAATTAAAATCTTCTGGTAAAATGAGGTGATTTAAATGATCAATTGATTTTGAAATAAATCTTTAAAATGTGATAATCAGGGTTTGTTTCTAGACAGAATGACATTTGCTGTTCTTACTTTTATATTTAAAACATGTGTATTATGCTATTCTTATTGTATAGGTTATTTTACTTCTTTTGTGACTTTTTTAAAAAGTTTGTAAAAAAATGAAAATAAATTTTTTGAGACAAAGAAAAGAAGCCTATGTGAATTATTTTAGACAGATACATAATTGTAACACTTAGCTGACTGTCAGAGCCAATTCAAATGGTCACATTCAAATCATAGTTATCAGATGTTTTCAGTACTGTGTACATTAATCTCTAAAGTCCAGATTAAATCAGAGTAAATTTGATAAAAAATCTGAGAAGAGACCTCACCAGGGAGGTGACCAGGAGGCATCCTAACTGGAGGCCCGTGCCACCTTAAAGGTGCAGTATGTAACTTTTCTAAAAATGTATTTTTTACATATTTTTTCATTCTGTCACTATCTCCTGACAGATTGATATTAGACAGGTAAGCTATGGAGGAAAAAAGAGTCCTCTTGCTTTTCCCGGTGGTACTACAGGCTTTAGAAAAATCCAGGCTTACCCGAGAATTAACAGCCAATGAAAACAGAAGTTTGTTCGTGAACGAGCTTCTGACGCCCATCCCCGACGTCTCTGCCAGCTGAGTGAAGCTGACACCCCACCCACGTCAAAAAATTAATCAAATAGTCAGAATGGTTAGTGC